GAAGTCCAACCCATTCCCCAGAAGACGCCAGGAGACCGAGTAAAGTAGACGATTTGTTGGCGGTCTGGTTGACTTACTAATGAGCCAGGCCCTGAGTTCCTTTCTTCCTTTTTTCTCCCTGGCTTGCATCAGGCTGATTAGAAACGATGGCAATTCTTCGGGGACAGAGAAGAGCAAAAGCCACCCGCCAAATGGTTAAAACAAATAAAAAAAACAATTTACTTTAAAAAGATTTTGTAATTTCTTTGATTAGTCATGAAACCTCTGCCAACTTTAAATATGTATTCCACAGCTCATTGAAGTGGTACTACTTGGAGAGAGAGTAATCCCAGGAAAACCCACACACATAACAGAAGCACTGGACTGAGAGATCCCTTAGTTCTTAGTTCACACCCGCATTCGGGTCATCAAAGCGAAATGGCGGCGACATCCAGGGATGAAAGTGAATTTGATGGTCAAGCAAGCGTTAAATGGAAAACTTTGGCTCCAAACTTCAAGTTTTTATGTACTTTTCTTCGTTAACGGGGAGTGGGAGAGCGGGATTTTCAGCGAATAAATTTTACATGGCAACCAAGAAAACACCCGAGGAATATTAAAACAAATGGAACCAACCGAGGAATATATTTTTCTGCAGCTCCTTTGCTACCATCTTGCTCCTGACCGTTTGGCTAATGAAGCCTCCAAGCCGAATGGGTTTCAAGGGGTAAGGGGGTTTTCCGGGTTGCAGGGAAATTTCTGCTCTTTTATGCAAACACGTACGACCCATTTAATTTGGCGAAAAGCGACCGCGTATATGGCCCGCTGGAAAAATACGTGATAAGCAAATTCATAAACCATTAAGACGGTTGCTGCCTTACCAAAAAAAAATGTGTACTATATAAGAGCAGCAGAAAGTGAGCTAACGTCAGCGGAAAAGGGCCAACAGGAAGGGCTTTTTCATAATTTCTTTGGGAAAATGAAGAAATACTCTCACAAGGCAGGAAAAGGTAAGGAAAATATATATTTATTTCAATACAAATTTTACTTTAAACTTAAAATATTTAATATATAAATGAATATTTAGGTTATTTGTAAAGTATCTTGGGAAATTAAGATGATTAAAAAAGTCCCAGAGTGACAAAAAGAAATATTTTAAAAATTAAATCTAATAAGATATAGTTATAATAGTTATACAAGTCTAATTTAAGAACCTTCCTAGACTAAAATCTTCCTTAAAAGTTAACCAAGCAACTTGCTACTTTTTAAATATTTTAAAATTCTAAATAAATTGTTGTTTAAACGGAGGTGTATCCTAAGCAACACCCTAACCCGGTAAGCATTCAAAAAAAAATATATTTAACCACTCCCCGCATCGTGTGGCGGTTTCATTAAATTTTATAACAAGCATTTATATAAACTTTTTGCTTCTTTTGCACGTTTTTGCCTAGAAGCCGCCAGCCTGTTGGTTGGTTATGTTAAGTTGGTTGGGTGAAATTTGAGTTTGAGTTTGACTTTGGCTCTAAATGTAGCCGGTGTTTGTGTGCTGGGAAGCCGCCTAATTGAGGCAGTTGAGAATTGAAAAAAAGAACGTATATAAAAAGCAGCAGCACACACGAGTTGGCTATAAGGGAATGGGGGTGTGTGTTAGCCGTGAAACCTTTCAAGTTCTCCTGCATGAATGGCAAATGGCAGCGAGTGTGATTCATTCAGGATCCTGTCAAAGCATTTAAAGCTACCATACATGGCACTTATGGCGGGAAAGTCGAGTGCGTGGGCCCCTTATCTTTTGACTCACTTTCCAATTATCATATTAAATCAGTTGTAAGTCATTGCATGTGTATATATTTGCACAACTTATGCGATGGTGAAGGACATCGTCAGCAGCAGCGGTAGCGACTCGGGTAATCCTTTCAGCCAAAAAGGATACAAAACACACACAAAAACAACAGGCAGAGTCACATCAGCAGCGAGCCAAGCGGAAAACGGGCAAGAGCAAAATCCAGTTGACATATCGCTGAAATGCAGTTAATGGGAATTCGCTTGGCCTTCTCTGTAGATAACGATAGCTAATGGGGCGAGCAGGGGGGGTATCAGACGTGTCCTGTGGTAGCTTCTATCTCACCTAAGGATAATGAGCTCATGAGGGATTTGATAAAAACAGAAAGCTGGCTGGTGTGGCTTACCAAGCACGAAACATATTTAATCTAAGGGGAAGTCAATTGTTTTTTTTTAAATGGTTTACAAAGGTCAGGAGGTTAGAGTTAAGGTTTTACTGGAAAATATGAGAGGAATACTTAAGAAAGTAGGATTAGGAATGAGGCTAAAATTATATAATTTCTTAATTAAATCTAAATAAAGAGGCAACACCCTTTAGATAACTAAAAACTAGATAACTACAAATTACTAAACTATCAGAATATAAAATCTGTTGAAACCTTTTGTAATAATTTATTAAATTCCTATAATATTAATTTGTATTAAATTAGTTTAGAATTTGTATTACATTATTGTAAACCCTGCCACATATTCCCAACATATTTTATCCCTAATCCTGTGGAAGCATTACAATTAAATGTCCTGTCGGCTTTCGCAAAGAGTATGCTCTGCATATAATCAGCTTAAAATATCAGCGAGCAAACATTATCAATCAAAATGAAATCAAATACTGCTTCCCGCCTCCCCTCCAAGCTCCGCATCCTTTTGGCGAATCCTCCTACCATTCCTTACCCGCAGTTATGTTCCAGATTTAACTTGCTACGTGCAACGCCAATTTGATTGCTCACACGAGCTCTATATGTGTGAGCGAGGCGAAGGCGATGGCGGAGAAAGTATAATAAAGGCCCAGGTGATAGCAGGTGTGAGGTGCGGCCTGAACCCACCCACTCCCTCCGCCGCCGCCAGTCATTCACTCAGTCATTCAGTCAGTTCGCCGGGCCAAGCCGAGTCAAGCAGTCGAGCGCGAAATAAGCTTTGTCTGTTGGACTGAGGTAAGTGAACGGTGGAGCAGAGCCACCGGCTCCGCCAGGTGGAGATGATGCCACATGACAAGCGGAGGAGCAGCCAGCGGTAACAACACCAGCCAGCAATAACAGCCGCACAGATTGATGACTCAAGATACAGGGCGAAAAATTGGCTTACAACTCGAGTTAAATTAGGCTCAAATGAGGGAATAGAAAATGGGATATTAATTTTATAATTTTTAATTTAATAATATTTAAAATATAATGCTGATAGCTTGGATGCCTTGTTTATGATTTAATAAATTTAAAAATAGTTAAAGATTCTTAGATAAATTCATAAAACTTACAAAATTACAACGTGGCTTAAAAATTTAAGATATTCCAAAGAAACTCTGATAAATTACTTTTATAAAATGTAAGAAAAAATATATGAATCATGAAATTTCCCTCAGTGTACAAGTTATTTTGCAAACCTGAGCCCCCTTTCCCCTTTTTTTCGCTCGTGGGAGCTACATTTCTCAGCTCCACTGTCGTATCGTGAAAATCCATTTCGGCTGTTAATGTGACATTTAGTCATTAAAATTTCAAGAGGCACACGACTCAGACAAAGCATAATATTGTTATTATTATTCGCTTGTGTTTGGCTAAAATGCCAGCGAGTTTTGACTGTGCGGGGGTAACAGCTGCCAGCAGCTGCTGTAAGACAACTGCGATGCCACTTCCCCGTACAACGCGTCGTATGCGTAATGTGCTCTCACTGCTGCTGCTGCTGCTGATGCTGGTTCATTTAAATTAAATTTGCCCTGGGTCATGCGAGTGTTGGGTTTCGTATGCCAAATTGTATGCAGAGAAAGAAATTAAGGGTAGGGAATTATAGATTGAAGTAGGTTTAGTTTTATAATCTTAAGTTGAGAAAGAAAGGAAGCTTCACTGAGTAATTAGGTTTTGCCTGATATTTAGTTAGTTAAAATAACTTAAAACCTTATCCTAGTAAAAGATTAGTTCAAATTCTATGACTGTGTTCCCTTTTCCCTACTTCCCTTCATACCTTTCTACTTCCAATTATTTAATTATTATCCCAGTTTGTATTCCGACAGTGTAAAAAGTGTTTAGAGAGTATAAAGGAAAAGGGAAATGAAAATTACGGGAGGAGTGAGAGTAGGGAAACTCTTCAGTGCTTCTCTACAGAATCAAGAGCAAAGCAAATTGGCAAATAAAATTTTTACCCAGCACCAAAAAGAAATATAAAAAGTTGACTCCGAGTTAGAGAAGTTTCCTTTCCCTTCAGCGAAAGCGAGCTGAGAAAAAGACATCAACTTTCGTGTGTGTAATTAAATTTACTTGTTGCTGCTACCTTTTTACCCCTCCCTCCACGTAATACCTCCCTCCTGCTCCTCAGTCAGCCGTCAAACTAAAGCAATCGGAAGAAGCCCGAAGGAGAAGTGACACTAATTAAATGCCCATGGATGCGGATGTTTATTTGCTCGGAAGTGGGGGAAGAGGCAGCTTGAGAATATTGCCATTTGAGTTGCCTTTAAATGATGGAAAATATATGAAGCCATGCTTCGCCTAGCCATCTCTTAGCCCAGTATGCAAATTCGGGCCAAAAACTTTCAAAGCCGAGGAAGTGTCACATGGTTTGGCCTCTGACGTTTCTACACACAATTAAGTTGATTTGTTGCCTGTTGCGGTCAAAGCTAACGAAGGCGGCTCCGGCTCTCACAGGCTCCACTTAATGGAAGGATGCGTCTATAGGAAATGCATTTTCAGCCCCATACCCCATTACCCCCCTCTGTCCTGTTCTGTCCTCTCTCTGTGTGTGTGAGTGATTGCAAATTCTGGTGTGTGGGAGAGTGAGTGGGGGGAGATTGCAGGGGGTAGATGCTCTTGCAATCCCAATAAATATGTCTTGATGGATGACTGCCGTGAAGAGCTGAAAATTGCAGTTGGAAGAAAGACTTTTCAACAGAGGATAACTGCAGAATATTTAACGGAAATTAGTATTTAAGTTTTGGCGTAAAGGTACCTTCTTTCTTGTTTAAATAAGATGTACCCTTAGAATATCATTTTAAAATTTACTTAATACAGTTTTTTAAGAAGATGTTTGACAATTTTTATTACACTACTTATTTTGCCTAATAAGAAAGTCTTTATCCTTCCACACAGAGCTGGTCACCTTCACCGTTCTTAGATGAAACCTCTTCTTTCAGCTTGCGCGGAACTATATCCCAATTAGTGGAGACCCTGACATCCCTTCGATGAAACTGCATAGCCTGAACCTGGCTCCTTGTAGGAGATCGGTAAGAACCCAACCCGATGAACTGGTTGCCGCGGGCAGCCACAGGATCGTAGCCCTGTCGGATAAGCTTCTCATAGTTTCTTATGTAGAGCCGCCTAAAAAAACAGGCAAACTCCAGATTATCGCTCAGGCGTCTTTTTGCCAGTTGGGCCATCGGTATCTGTGCTGCCACCTTGACCTGGTCAAAGGCATTCTGTACAAGTCGAAAGTTGGCCAAGAATTCGTACTCCTGGTTGGATAGGCATTTAACTTTGAGCATATCTATGGTTCCGGGGAAAAGCTTGTCCATAAGGCAGCAATAAGCAGCGCCAGTGCCAAGATCTTCGACTTTGTATAGATGTGTGTTTAATTCATAGCTGATCCAGGCCAAGATTTGGAAGCGTGACCATTGGCCCTGGTGGTGTTTGGTAAAACAAACATTGTCCGCCTGAACTGAATAGGTTTTTGACATCTAAAGGGGGGAAATATGGAAACTTGGTTTGTAATTAAACTAAGAAAAATCGCCAGACCTTGCACACTTTCCTTTAAAAATTACTATACGTATACGTATCTCTTAGTCAAAGTCTTAAATCTTAAAATAGCCAAAAGAAACAAATAAAAAATTGTTATATTTTTAAAATCTAAAATGTTGAAAGATGTTTACTGCTCAGAAACCGAATTTGGAATGCATATCAACTGAGTCTCAGTTAACACCAGGCCTGCTTGATTTTCTAGATTAAAAATAATATATGAAACAGGAAATATAAAGCTAAATACTTGCATCATCTCATAAGCCTTCAAACTCTCCTTCTACCCAGAGCTCCATTCACAAAGAACTTTGAGCCAACAGCCATTAGATTTCGAGCCATTAAACGTGTTTATATATTTGCAATCACATCATCACAAAGCAAAGCAAGCGCGACAAAAACTTATGGCAATCATATAATAAAAGAAAAATAACCAGAGGAGAAAAGGCAGCAGGGAAAATGCAGAAATGGCAAACTTTTTCGCCAGCCATGTGTCTCAACTTCATTCGAGAGCTCCTTTTCCTCGTCGTACGTGTCTGCAGTGGCAAAACAAACAATAAAAAACTGCACAGAGAGGGGCAAAAAAAGGAAGACAACTTTAAAGTGCAGCAAATTGCATTTGAAATTCGCAGTAATATTTTCGCATCCCTTGGAAAACAAGCAGCGAAAACAATTTTGAAGATACGCATTGAGCATTTAGGGCACCGAGGGCATGGAAAAGAGCAGTGAAGACAATTTTGTGGAAACAATGAAATGGAAACTTAACTCATGAAATATTCAAAGTGAGATTTGCCGTTACTTTCGTTCTGTTGTGGTTAAATTTTCAAACAAGACAACAAATAACTTGAAAAATGCTCGGTAACACCGAAGATGGGAATGCTTTTTGAATTACTTAAATATTTAAATAGATATTTTAGATATTAAGAGTGGTTCCTAAGATAAGTAAAAAAATAATTTAAAACTAGACTTGAAAACTTCGGAAATATTTTTAAATATTTTTCTTTATAAGTACTTTAAATCCTAATTATATATTTACCTATCTTTAGAGTTTTCCCTTGTATAAATATTCTTAATTATAAATATAAAACTTCTCTAATACTACATCCCTTAAAAAAAGAGTATCCAAAACACTTTCATACCCTTTTTGAACCACAAAAGCAACCAGAACGATGAGCAGAAAATTGTTTGCTTAATGCGAAGCTGTTGCTCGTTTAAGTTTTTCCTTGTTTAGTTGGGTTTAAGGCCTGTAAGGGATAGTTGAGCACGACGAAGGAATCTGGGGAAATTGAAATGAAACTTCTGATAAATTGTACCTGGCAGAAGGCAATGAAAGCTAAATTTGTTGATTGTTTGAAATGCTTTAGTCATATCAAAAGTTTACTCATGTAATTGCGGGGTTTTTCATTTGGATTTATCAAAAAGAAGTTGTTGAAGGTTTCTTTTTGGGGTTTTATACATGCAAAATATATATAAATAAAACTACAAATGCTATTTAAGTGATTGGATTTTTATATTGTTAATTACTTAGCATTTTGTTTTTGTTTTTTGTTTAATTTGAGAAAGAGTTTGGCTTTAATAAGCTATTAACACATTAATTTTTCGGTAAATTTCAAACGTTATAATTCTTTCAAGGATACAAAATATTCTAGCAAATTATAATCTTAATTATATATAACAAATACAAAGGATAATACAAACTTCTTTTGCCTTTCTGGAATTTCTAAAATTTCCTAAATAAACTCATAACTATAAACCTAAGATATTCCCCTAACATTACCATGAATTATTTCTTAACTCAATTAAATTCCTTTTCCAATTCCATCATTCAGGATTAATCAATTAGTACAATTTTATTGACGTCTGATTTTATCACCTGGCTGTAACTGCAAAAACCCCCATCAAATCAGCTATTCTGGAGCAATTAAAGGGACATGAAATTGTACACAAAGTACACGAATAGAATTCAACTACTAATCCAGGCTATTTGAGCTTTGATTGAATACCGCCAAGGACAATGACAATTCCGCTGATGATGATGAAGCTACGACTGATGCTTGATGGCGATGGCATAACAATAAACATCAAGAAAAGAGTGTAAAAACAAGCGTTTTCATTCCAAACTCAACTACTACAGAGGGAGAAAAGGGGGAAGTTAGAAAGTGAAAAAGTTCTAGGAATGGAAATATTTTTTAAGTATTTTATTTTATAAATATATAATATTTTACACTCACATTGTACCCTTTTATCCTTAAGTAAACCTGCTTATAATATGTAGAACTATTATTTAGATAACTCTTATTTCAACCCCTTTTTTTCTCAGTGCCCACTCACATACACCCACAGAGACTAAGTATTTTATGGCCGACACTAAAGTCCAAGCATCAAACCGAAACTTTGTCACATACACAAACCCAGAGGAGCTGCATGAAAGGGAAAGCGAACGCAATTACGAGAACGAGACGACAGCGCAATGGAAATGGAAAATCGGCAGAAGAAAAGCCAAATTATACGCCACTGAGCGCAGTCTGTCTGTCTGTCTGTGACGAAGAAGGCTCCCGCAAGGCTATTAAAACTTATGCGTAGCTCATATAACACTTTTAATGCCAATCAAAGTCTCAACTCAAACCCCAAATAGGCAACGGAACGGAATGGGAAAAACGAGAAAATATAGCGAAAAGATTCCAGAGCAAATAGCATCTGAAACTTTCACCTTTTGTTTCCCAAAAAAGAAAACACTTTTACTTATAAATATAGAAGGCAACAAAAGCAACAACTACAAGGCAAGGCAAGTCGGAAAGTCAAACAAAAGTTCATTGAAAATGAGGAAAACAAAAAACACCAACCGAAAAAAATAAAAAAAATAAATAAAGAAAAATAAAGAAAAACTGTAAGAAAGAATCAAGTGTAATAGCAAGTAAAAGAAAAGCAATAAAGCCAAGGAAACGGGGCAAAGCGAAAAGAAATTGTCACAAATACAAATAGGAAATTGACGCGGAAAAACAATAAGAAGAAGAAACAATATGAAGAACGAAAAAAATATGAGAAAATGAGGCAAGTTTTCCACCCAACACAACCGAAAAAGAAAAGAATTCCCAAGAATCTTAGCCCAGAGGAGGCGTGGCACAACATGTTTACCAGTTTTTATACCCGCTACTCGTAAATTACAAGGGTATATGGAGTTTTTGGGAAAAGGATAAACTAAAGCGGAAAAGTATGCTATGTTTTCTTAAGAAATTAAACTAGAAATTAAGTTTTTAATTTAGACAGAGTTTTCCTTTAAAATTAAAAGGATACCTACTTGTTTAAAGCCGTACTTAAATTTCTTAGATTTTTAAGGACATTCCTAATCATCATTCCACAGTCGAATCACTTTCCTAAAACCCCTCCTTTTTGTGTTTTTTTATTTGGATTTTCCTCGTGTAACGAATTTAATCTTTTACGTTAACGCGTGCTGCAGGGAAATAGGGGGCTTAAGGGGGAGTGTTGCGTAGGAAATCTGTTAGATGGAGACCCATTGTTGGGTTTTATTTATAGACCTCAAATGGCCTCAGCCCGAGGATGTGGCACTTGTTTGTAATGACATGTATGTATGTTTGCGAGGGGGAGGAGGTGTGCGGTACGAGGGATGCCTAAGTAAACAAAAGAGTTGTTCTATACGTAACCCGAGAAATGAGGTGGGTCTCCCATAAAAGACCTGATAAAAGCGGCTTAAAAAAGCTTTTAACGCAGCCAAATAAAAAGAAAAGCCAGAGATGAGAAATGGCAAGGCTTTCAATAGGGTTAAGCGAAGGGTAAGTAGGATCGGGTTAAGGGTTAAGTCAGTCCTTAGCCGTTAAGTTAATGAAATTTGAAAGGTATATAGATTGATGGCTATCTAATTGAGGTGTAAATTGTGAAAGAAAAATACACAGGAATTTGGGAAGGGTTGAAGAAATATAAAGAAAGAATAAAAAGACATTTGTAATAACTGGTTTGTTATTTTAAACATCCATTTATATATGTATAAGCTTTATATAGCAGACATTCTATAGACTGAAATCCCCAAATTAAATACAATATATAAGAATAAACCCTAACTCTTACACCCCCTCTAAGTGCCAATAAGCTATTTTCATTCTTGATATTTTATCTCAATAAATGATTCCTTGAAATTTCACTTTTTATTGAAATAATCTATAGAGCTTTCTCGCTCCTTTTTCCAACTGGCAATGCTTGATTTCGCCTGCGGGAATTCCCAGTTCCAATTAAATCGGAAAATTCCCTGGAAAATTATTTCACAACCTCAAATATTGCCACAATCCCCAGGAATGCCAGGATTTTCGCTCACTCCTCCCTCGATGTCCAAACACGAAGGAGCACTCCTTGTACTTCACCTTGACCCCGAGAGTGTGTCTTGGCATTTGAAGTGTTACTTTTATTGTATTTCAGAGGTGACAAGTGTCAGAATGGGGCGGGGTAATGCGAGACACAATGTCAAGTGGCCAGAGGGGAGAAAAAAATAGAAGCTTAAAAAAGGAGCAAAATATAAAGAAAAATATCGAATAAAACAAGGATATCAGGCAAAGGGAGACATTACAAGCATGTGGCACTGGACAAACATTAAGCACGGACACGCCCCGACACAACACGAAAGGGGATGGCCTCGAAGGATCCTTAAAAGAGGACCCCGGGAAATTAATAATAACGCTGCTGTAAGGTGGCTCACAAGTATGCAAAATCGCCGAGAAAACGCCGCACCGAACGGAATGCATATTGATAAATTCCAGCACAAAAGGAGCTAAAAGGAAGCCCCTGATACTCGTACAATGAGAAGTATAAAGGCTCTGCTTCAAGCAACAGTGATGCTAAATAACTAAGAATTTCTTTTAAAATAAAAACAAAATTACAAGCATTAAAATTTAAGTTTAAATTGTTAGATTTTATGACGTGATATTACCAAAACCCATTCAGTAGTTGATAAAATATACGCCACAGGTATATATCTCCACATTTCTCTCATAGTTTGACTCATTCTTAGTATTCCGGATATTTTTCCATCTGAATTGCTTTAAAAAAAAACTGCCAGTTTCCCATCCCTACCAAGATCAATATGCAATGTTCGATGCGAAACGTGAATATGAATGCAAATGCGAATGCCAATCCGAGTCACAGGCGCCAGTACAAAAGT